TCGGCTTTGGCCTCCCTCACCTTCACACTTGACTCAGGGGCTTCTCGCTCCTTCGTTCGAGACCGCACCACACTCACGCCGCTTGGTCGGCCGGTTACAGTCTCCCTGGCAGACCCCTCTGGGGGTCCTGTCCTCTCTCACTTCTCCACTGTCCTCCCGTGTCCGGCTGCCCCCTCTGGCACCTTGTCTGGTCTTTACCTCCCCTCATTCTCTACGAACTTGGTGAGTTGTGCTGACCTACAGGATGTGGGGGTTCGCCAGTTTACTCCTGCGAGTCAGCGGGTGACCCACTGCTCGAACACTCGCACAGGCCGGCACCTGGCCACGTTTACGCGTCGGCCGGGGTCGAACATCTACACCCTGACCACTAGGTCTCCTCCTGTCCTTGCGTCTGGTCAGGTAGCTGCGTTGGGTCAGGTGTTTGCTGCAGCGTCCAGGTCTGGTCCTGAGTCTGCCCCCTGCTCGTGCCGCCTCATGTCTCACGAGACTCTCTTGTGGCACCACCGTCTTGGTCACCCCTCCCTGCCTCGTCTCCGAGGCATGGCTTCCCGTGTCCTTGTCTCTGGTCTTCCCCGGTCCCTCCCTCCCCTTCCTTCGGGGCCTGGTCCTTCCTGTGTCCCCTGTGTCGAGGGGCGGCTACGGGCTGCTCCTCACTCCTCTCCGTTTCCCCTGACAGAGGCCCCGCTGCAGACGCTTCACATGGACGTGTGGGGCCCGGCCCGCGTCCGTGGACAGGGTCATGAGCGCTACTTTCTGCTGGTGGTTCACGACTACTCGCGTTACACCTCAGTCTTCCCGTTGCGCAGCAAGGGCGATGTCACTGAGGTGTTGATCGACTGGATCCGCGCAGCTCGTCTCCAGCTCAGGAGGAGCTTCGGCTCGGACTTTCCTGTTCTGCGTCTGCACTCTGACAGAGGCGGAGAGTTCTCCTCTGGCCTTCTGCGAGCCTACTGCCGTGCGCGAGGCATCCGCCAGACCTTTACGCATCCGGACTCTCCACAGCAAAATGGGATTGCTGAGCGCCGCATTGGCATGGTCATGGACGTCGCTCGTACATCCATGATGCATGCGGCTGCCCCCCATTTTCTGTGGCCGTTTGCGGCTCGGTACGCGGCGCATCAGATCAACCTTCACCCCAAGGTCTCTAGGCCGGAGACCTCCACAACTTTGCTGTGGACAGGGAAGGTAGGCAATGCGTCTGCGTTCCGTGTCTGGGGATCTCGGGCGTTTGTCCGCGACTTGTCTACGGACAAGCTGTCCCCTCGTGCTGCTCCTTGTGTCTTCCTTGGCTTCCCCCCTGACGCGCCAGGGTGGCAGTTCTACCACCCCACCTCTCGTCGTGTTCTGTCCTCTCAGGATGTCACGTTTGACGAGTCGGTCCCCTACTACCGCCTCTTCCCCTACCGCACTCCTTCCCTCCCCCCGCCACCGCTCTTCCTTGTGCCAGGTCCCCCCCCGGTAGACCCCCTCCCCCCTCAGGGTCCTGCCCCTTCAGGTGTGTCCCAGGTAGACGCGGTCGAGCCGGTCGAGGTTACTGGTGACTCTGGTGCTGCTGTGGGTGCTGAGCCTGGGGGTGCTGACTCTGGGGGTGCTGCGCGGGTGGGTACTACGCCTGGGAGTGCTGGGCCTTCGGGTGGTACTGCTGGGGTGCTGAGCTTGGGGGTGCTGCGCCTGGGGATGCTGAGCCTGGGGGTGCTACGCCCTGGGGGTGCTGAGCCTAGGGGTGCTACGCCTAGGGGTGCTGAGCCTGGAGGTCCCACGTCTGGAGGTGCTGAGCCTGGGGGTGCCACGTCTGGAGCTGCTGAGCCTGGGGGTGCGGAGCCGGTGGCCGCTGGGCCTGCTCGTGTGGCGTCTGGCGGTGCTGGGCTTGGAGGTTCTCCGGGTGCTTCGTCTCGGCGGGAGCCACTCTCTCCACAGGAGCTGCGTGAGTGGTTTGCCCGGCGCTGGAGGCGTACTACTGGAGCTTCTTCGGCTGCTGAGGGTGATGGTGCCGCCGGTCCCGGAGGTGCTCGTGCCGCAAGTACTGGAGCTGCTGGGCCTGCGGGTTCGCCTCGAGCTAGAGCTGCTGAGGATGTTGGCGCTGAGGCTACTGCTGTCAGTCCTGGAGACGGTTCTGCTGGGGGTGCTACTGGTACTGCTGGAGGTGCTGCTGGCTCTGGTCCTGATGCGGGTGCTGCTGGTCCTGCTGGAGGTCGTGCAGCTGGCGGTGGTGTTGGCGCTGGTGCTGTCCCTGCTGTGTCTGGAGTCGCCGCGCGGCCTCGGCCGTACTTCATTCCGCTCCTTCAGCAGGTTCTTGGTCTTCCTCCTCCCTTAGAGTGTCCACGGCTTGTCCAGTCCCAGTCACAGCTTCCGCCGGCCTCCCCACTGCCTGCTCCTTCTCCCTACACTTGTCCTACTAGAGGTCTACTGAGCGTCATGAGCCTGCGTCTCGTCTTGCGTTGCCTGTTCGTGCTGCTCGCACTAGTGGTCGCAGTTCGCGTCAGCGTCCTCCTCCTGTCCCTGGCACGCACCGGATGTCTCTGCGTCCGTCCACTGCTCCTCTGCGTGCCCCTTTGCCTTCTCCTCCTGAGTCCTCTCTTCCTGCACTTGCCGACCCGGAGTCGGACTCTCTTCGTGCTGCCAGTCCTACTGTCACGCGTCTCCTTGCTACTGTCGTCACTGACCCCTCCTTTGAGTCCACTGTTGCGTCTGCTCTTGTTGCTGAGCTCGTCGACTTTGCTGCTCGCTGTCGTCTAGACTACGATGCTAGTCTTGTTGCTGAGTCTGCGTCTGTCTGTCCTCCGTCCGTCGGGGGTGAGTGTGCTCTTGGCACGGACGTCCTTGAGGACAGGCAGGAGGAGTTCCAGTGTCTAGCTGCTGCTTCACCTCATCTCGTGTCCGTACTGCTTACCCCTGAGGGAGACCCGGATGCACTTGACATCCCGACTCTGCGCTCTTACGCGGAGGCCGTAGAGGGTCCCTACTCCTCTCAGTGGCAGGCAGCTATGGATGCAGAGAGATGGCTTCCTGGAAGTCCACAGGCACCTACGTTGACGCAGTTCCCCCGCATGGGGCGAAACATCGTCAGTGGCATGTGGATCTTCAGGGTGAAGCGGCCGCCAGGTTCTCCACCTGTCTTCAAGGCGCGGTACGTGGCTCGTGGCTTCAGTCAGCGGCAGGGAGTTGACTACTTTCAGACCTTCTCTCCCACCCCGAAGGATGACCACTCTTCGGGTGCTGCTACACATAGCCGCTCAGCGCGACTACGAGCTTCACTTCCCTTGACTTCAGCACTGCTTTCTTGCAGGGTAGCCTGCACGAGGAGATCTGGCTGCGCCGTCCACCTGGCTTCACTGGGACTTTCCCTCCTGGCTCCCAGTGGAGCCTCCGACGGCCAGTCTTACGGTCTCCGCCAGGCGCCGCGCGAGTGGCACGACACACTGAGGACTACACTTGCGGCTCTTGGGTTTGCTCCCCTCTACTGCTGACCCGTCGCTGTTTCTCGCGCAACCGACACCTCTCTGCCGCCGTTCTACATCCTCGTGTACGTCGACGACTTGGTCTTTGGCCACTGCTAGACACTGCTGGACCTTGCCCACGTGAAGTCCGAGCTGCAGAAGAGACACACGTGCACAGACCTTGGTTGAAGTGCGCAGCTACCTTGGCTTGCAGATCACTCGGGACAGAGCACGCCGCACCATTACCCTGACTCAGTCACACATGGTGCAGCAGGTCCCTTCAGCGCTTCGGCTTCACGTACTCCTCGCCTCAGGCCACTCCTCTGCCTACTCGCCACTCGCTCTCAGCTCTGCCTTTCGGATGAGTCCGTAGAGTCGAGTGGCCCGTACCCAGAGCTTGTTGGCTGCCTCATTTACCTGATGACCTGCACACGACCTGACCTTGCATACCCTCTTAGCATTCTTGCACGCTATGTTGCTCCTGGCAGACACAGGCCAGAGCACATGGCTGGAGCAAAGAATGTGTTGCGCTACTTGTGCAGTACGTCGAGCATGGGGCTAGTGCTTGGAGTGCAGAGTCCAGTGGTCCTCACTGGGCACGCAGACGCTTCTTGGGCTGACGACCAGGCTACACAGCGGTCGTCACAGGGTTACACCTTCAGCCTTGGTTCCGGCTCTGTTTCGTGGCGGGCTACTCGCTCGTCTTCTGTTCTCGGCTCTAGTTGTGAGGCTGAGATCTACGCCGGAGCCATGGCTGCTCAGGAGCTTCGCTAGCTCACCTACTTGCTGACTGACCTCGGAGAGCCGCCTCGTTCTCCTCCAGTGCTGTACGTAGACAACAAGGCCATGCTGGCCTTGTGTCGGGAGCAGCAGCGCCTGGAGCACAGAACGAAGCACATTGCTCTCCGCTACTTTCTTGCTCGTGAGCTGCAGCAGCGTGGTCAGTTGCGACTTGCGTACGTGGCCTCTGAGGCCAACACTGCTGATATCTTCACTAAGGCACTTGCACCTTGTGATCATCAGCGCTTCTGTACTCAGCTTGGTCTTGTACCTGTCTTGCCTCACTTACTCACTTCTTGATCTTGCTTGTACTGTGACTATATATATATACTCCTGCTCTTGCTTGTTTAGCTGTTTATATATATATATATATGTGTTCCTGCATGTGAACTGGCCTTCTGGCCTTGAACTTGTGCTCGGAATGTGTGGTGACTTGTGATCCACCCTGAGCTTTGCTTGGTTTTGCTTGACTGGTCTTGTGACCCTTGTTCTCCCCCAGTTTGCGTATGGGGGTTGTGTCAAAATTATAATGTTATGTAGGCTATAGAGGGGTAGCCTATATGGGGTACACATATTCTAGGGTTGCATATTTGTATCACTTTCGTTCCTTAGTCAATCATTCTCGTTTCAGTTTTCTCACCTTGTGTGCCCCTCACTTAGCCTATGGGGGTCGTGTCCAAATGTAATAACTGTGATACGTCGTAGTGAGGTGCCATTTCAGGGGGTACTAACTTTAGGTTTGCATATCTGTACCCCACCCTTTTTCTAGTTGACGATTCTGCTATGCATCACTCTTGTGAGTGGTGCCCCTGGCCAACATTGAAACCACCTTGCAGTGCAACTGTACCCTAAGTGTTATAATAGTAGATTAAGGAACACTAGGGTTTAGGCTTAGGAAAGTAGCGAGAGGAAAATGCAAGCATAAAGAGGGCTTCACTAATGAGGAATAGCAAGTACAAATAGGTAAACAGCAACACAAGGAGGTGCACCACCAAACATGATGCAATATCTACACTACAACTGCAAACAATTACATAAAATATGTAAACATATTTTTGACAGCGCACCCATAACTAATTGCAGGAGTAAGTGTAAAACGCCCCCTGACGGGGTGCACCAGGAGTGCAGCGGGAAGAAGCAGAAGCAAGCAAGAGTAGTAGTGGCCGGTGAGGAGTGGCAAATACAGCAGTAGCACGCCCTCAGCCAAGGCAGAAGCAGTAGCAGGTGTAGGGGCGGCAGGTCGCCTGAGGAGCAGGCTCTGTGGCTGCAACGTGCAGCAGGACAGGAGCGGCTCGACGGCAGCACCTGCAGGCCCCAACAGCAGACAGGAGAAACAAGGACAGGTGGGGCAGGGGCGGCAGCAGGAGGTGCCACGGTAGCAGCGGGTGGCTGCTGCAGATGCTTGTCTGTTTTTCCCGCCACCCCTCTTACCCTCCCCCCCACAGCAGCACGAGCGACAGTGAGAGAGAGAGAGAGAGAGGAGGGGCGGCTGCTGGCTTTGCAGAATCTCTCTCGCCAGCCTGTCACACTCCCCCCGTTTCCCTTCACCCTCCGGCGCAACCTCTCCCCGCCCCTCACGGCGGACCCCGCTGAAGGGAGGGGAAGGACGGGCTGCAGGCAACTCACTGACAAAATTAGAAGAAAGAGGAGGTTCACTAGCAAGCAGTTGGATACAAATAGCAAACCCTAACTGGGTTGTACTCGCTATGGAGCACCCCACTGCAGGCTAGATAACATAACATTTTGACACACCCCCATAGCCAAAGTGGGGTGTAATCAGCACAGTAAGCAAACCAGAACAAGCTCAGGGTGGATCACAATGTCACCACGCATTCTGAGCACAATTACAAGAAGCAACAGTTTAAAGTTCACAATTATGAGCAAAGCTAGTGGTAGTCACAGCGGGCAAGTGAGGAGGAGGAGGGACTGTGAGAGGAGAGAAGATGGGAGACGACGGCTGAAGCTGCAGACACACGGGCTACAGGAGCGGCTGCCACAGTGGCTACCGGGACAGCGCCCCGGACTACTGGAGTAACTGGCTCACGGGCTACGACGAGCTACAGGAGCAACGGACCCACGGGCGACAGGCGCAGCAGGCTCTCTGAGCTACCAGGACAGCGCCCCGGACTACAGGTGTTGCGGACGACAAGACGGCAGCCTCCTCTCAGCCTCCCCAAGCAGTCCCACACCCCCCCCACACACACCCCCAGTTTCACCCCTAGCTCCACTCCCAAGGCACCCCCCCTTGAACCCTAAACCCCAGTCTCCCACTCATCCACCCCCCTCAGCGACAGCTGCAGCAGTGGGAGACAAAGGAGGAGGAGCAAAGGGAGGAATGAGGAAGTGACACCCCCATACTCGCCACCCCCTGCTTGCCACCCCCAAACCCTAACACAGACAGGGTGGGATGGCGGGTAGGCAGGGTGGGATGGCGGCGCTCGCCCCCCTCCCCCAGGCGGCCCCGAGGGAGCCGCGACGGGCGACGGGAAATGGGGCCGGGGCGCAAGGGGGGCGGCGGGGCCACAGGTGTAGGGCGGCGGGGCCGCGAAGGTGGGGCGGCGGGGGCCGCGACAGAAGGGCGGCGGGGCCACGAAGTGGGGCGGCGGGGCCGCGAACATAGGGTGGCGGGGCCGCGAAATGTGGCAGGGGGCCGCACCGTGAGGCGGCGGGGCCGCGACGTGAGGCGGCGGGGCCGCGAAGTGGGGCGGCGGGGCTGCGACTGGTCCCCGTCGCCCGTCGCGGCGCCTCCAGAGGGCGACGCGGCGAACGACGGGGCAGAAGCCCGCCGCGCGCCTCGGGGCGCACAGCGGGCAGAGAACCGCCGCGCGCCTCGGGGCGCACGGCGGGCAGAAAACCGCCGCGCGCCTCGGGGCGCACGGCGGGCAGAAAACCGCCGCGCGCCTCGGGGCGCACGGCGGGAAGAAAAAGTAGCAGCGGAAGCGAGGAGGTGGTAACCCACCCACAGGATCGATCCAAGAGGATCGACCTGCTCTGATAGCATGACAAAATTAGAAGAAAGAGGAGGTTCACTAGCAAGCAGTTGGATACAAATAGCAAACCCTAACTGGGTTGTACTCGCTATGGAGCACCCCACTGCAGGCTAGATAACATAACATTCTGACACTCACACCCGCCACCCCCACATCTCCCTCCCCCCACGGCGGAAGCTGCGGAAGGGAAGGGGGGGGCGGCATTAGCTGCTGCTCACGCAGGTGCTGGCGACGGGCGCTGGTGCTGGCGCACACGGCCGTGCGCGGGTGCGCACGGTCGTACGCAGCTGCGCGCAGCAATGCGCGCCCGTACGCAGCTGCGCGCGGCTGTTGCTGTGTTCGTGATAGGACGGGGCAGGGCAGGCGACGCGGGCGACGAGCAGGGCGCAACGGGCGTGACGGGGAGGGCGCCAAGGATGGGACGGACGGGACGGACGAGACCGTTTCGACGGTCGCGACCGTTGCAGCCGTCGTAACTACGGCCGCGACGGGGGGCGTGACGAGCGCCATGAGTGGGGGGATACGTGGTGGGCCCATGGGGGAAAAACAAAATTGGTCTTAGGACGACCTAGCTCTTAATACCATGTTATAACAGTAGATTAAGTGAACACTAGGGTTTAGGCTTAGGAAAGTAGCGAGAGGAAAATGCAAGCCAAAAAGAGGGCTTCACTAATGAGAATAGCAAGTACAAATAGGTAAACAGCAACACAAGGAGGTGCACCACCAAACATGATGCAATATCTACACTACAACTGCAAACGATTATATAAAATATGTAAACATATTTTGACACTAAGGAGCCGGGGTTTCGGCGATATAAACAGACTTGCGTGGCAGAGGGGGGAGGGGGGGGGTGTGGGCAGTGTCAGGCTTTTTTTCGGCATTCCTTACCGCGTACATCAACACCGCGCACTGCAGCAGCAATTGTTCGCCCGTTACAGCTAACGAGGCTTCGCAAGCCTTCGCGCACACTATTCACAAAACCGTGCACCGCTGGCCAGGCCATGTTGGCCTACGCTTTGGGACTAGCCGAAACCTCGATGCCAGCATCGCACTAGCTAGCTCGCATGCACCGCGTTACCATTTGCATGTTTGTACATAAGTATTCGCTATTCCTTCGCTCATACTTTGTTGTTTGACACACTAGTGCAATTCTAGCTACTTAGACTCATTGAAATTAATGAACTTGCAGAGTGCGCAGAATATCGAATAACGAGAATGAGAATTACAGCATGACGATACAATGAGAATGGCACGACTAAATAGGGGAAGTTTTAGCAAGGCGGCGAGGTCGGGCGAGGATGGCTCGGTGATGGTTGCGATTAGTGCGGAGGCGACTCGGGGGTGGTTCGGTGCGACGAAATAGGCCAGACAGGTTCGTCGCGTGACCCTCGGGATGGCCTCGCTAACGAGTGCCTCAGTAAGGATTTGTAAATCCTTACACTCTCCCACCTCCTAAATAAGGCAGCGCTGTACTGAAACAGGCCCCACACTAGCGAGGATGTCGTTGATCTTCAGCCCAAGTAAATCCAACGGCTGAAATTGCCTTCGACACTAATTTGAAAAGTTGGAATGTAGGCTGTTGATGAAGTCCGATTTCGATCTGACGGTTGACGATGACATGGCTTAAAATGAAGTAGAAGTTGGAATGTGGGCCGTTGATCGAGCAGATGTAGATCTGACGGTCGAAGACTGACGCGAATAGAGAGGGAACCTGCTGACGCGAATTCAAACGAGATTGAGCGGGGACCGTAGATCGTGTCGGTGTGATCGCGATCGTCCGTCGTGCTGACGCAACCTGACAAAGTAAGAAAGGACCGAGAAAAACGCCAAGGAAAGAACAGTGCAGCGCACTTTCTCCCCCCCTCCAAGAAAACTGTCCACAAAATCTTCAGAGCTGCACCGAGATGAAAAACCAAAGAAACCAGGTGTTAAGTCCCACAAAGAAGAGCGTCAAATGTAGAAGTCCAGGCGAAATGTCGTTGGTGTGGAAATGTCGATGACGAAACCAGGTATTACTGTCAGAATCCCAACTACTAGACCATTTGGATAAAAGGGCTTGTTTCAGTAGCGGGTCAGTGCGCCCATAACCCCCCAGGCAAACGCGCCTGTAACCCCCTTAGGATCGATCGAGGATCTCGCAGTGTAGCTCTACTGACACCCCCTCACACTGGGAGGCCCAGGACTGAGCACAGTGGCAACGGCCAACATGTGCATACCGGGATTCGAACCCGAGACCGCTCTGATACCATGTTGGAATCACTGAACAGGAATGGATGAACTAGCAGTGAAATGAGTACAAGTACCTAACCCTAGAATTGTGTACCCCCTATAGGGTAACCCACTGTAGCCTAAACTAACACAACATATATAATGTTTGACAATTACGTGCCCCAAAATTCGTCGAGGGCGAACCAAAAGATGTCGTCCGGAAACTGAAACTAAAACTATCGAATACTCGAACTGAACCATTTTGTCTTCATGTCGCCAGAATCAGCCGATATCTTCAGCAGTTGCAGCTGGCAGCTTCTGACGTGGTTGAGAATTAATGCAAATGTTGTGGGCGGATCGAAGGCGAGTTGTTAGTAGCAGAGTTGGAATGGATTCACGCGAGAGTTTTGTCGTAATGCGCCGATAGTTCGTGGGCAGGGATGAAATTTACAGCTCTCTCTCCCCCCCTTCACTGTTGCCGCTGCCTTCTTCAGTTCGTCGTAAGTCGTTCGTACCCCTTGAAAACTCCGTGTAGTTCCCGCGATGTTGCCCGACCGTTTTGTCGCACGTTTAACCAAATGTTGAAGTAATGGCTCGAAAATGTCGGTGCTCCTCGCAATAAAACTGGTAAGTCCTTCGTCAAACTCCAAAAATGTCGCTCGAAACGTAGCCTCGTAGATCCGCAGTTGCAGTTGCAGTTCTCCTCCGAAATCTTCGGTCGTACTATAGCCGCCCACTCGGTCACCAGCTGTTTCCGTCAGTCCAGAACCCATCTGGGGCAATAATCTGGACCGGGGACTAGACCTGGGTATTCCGAGACCGACTTTCACGGATCCTAGAGGCATCAACGCGGTTGACCCCGTCATCGAAATCGCTCCCGCCGATGATGTTTTAACAAAGTAACACGCGAACTTCCACTGGCGCTCTGCAGATGTTTCACCTCATCGCTCGTCGCCGGCAGGTAAATCCCGAAACTTCGGCTGCTCCCACGCTCCCTTTTACTGAAGAATTCCTGTGGTGTACGTTTAAACACCAGTGGGTTCTAGGTATCCTCGACGCTGTGTTTCTTGCCAGGCGACTTAAAAGTGACACTTCAGACGAAGTCCCCCAACAGCTCAACCGCACTCCAAGAAGCGAAGAAACACCCTCAGCTTCAACTCTCTCTTTTTTTTTCGTAGAAAAGTCACCTGAAAATCATGGTTGAGGCAGCAGTCCCGAAGTTATTCTCCGCCGTGTAGCCCCGACGTTTCCGCCGTTAACCCTGGTACTCCGATGTTCACCCATCTTCATACCCGTCGAAACCACTTAGCGAATCCGAGGTATCATTGGCAATATACCGCTCGCCGCGCCTCCATGTAACAATATCAAACCCTTTCGGGTGTCTCTGAATAGAATCTGAAATTCGCGGTGGATTGGTGCACGGGCTCAACCTCTCATTCAAGTGATCTCCCGGATCACCCACAGCTTTCCCTCCGTCGTCATATTTTTCGTATTCACCCCCGACAATTTCGCTTCCCGTCGTTCACCCAACGTCCGCTTTTGTCAGGTGGGTTATCGTCGTTGTTGCCCGCGCGAACCCGGCCACGGTGGAGAGGCAAAAACTATCGGAGTCGGGGTAGCCTTAATTAAAAGGAAACTATCTCCCAACCGTTTTGCAGCCCGCCATAACTTACGCCACGAAAAGTCCACAGCTTCCCGGTCTCAGCTTCGCCGCTGCGCCGACATTTCGTTTAGACGCCCGGGTCAAGAGAAATCCGTAAACTGCACCAATGTTGTCCACGCAGCTCCCCGACTTTTTGCGTGCTGTTCACCCAGCCCGCTTTTGTCGGAATAAAACGGTGCCGCGAACTCCACTTTTTTTTTTGTCTTTTCTGTACAGCTGTCGAATGAGCACCAATCCAGTTGCCTTTAACCAGCATAGGCAAGGCAGGTTTACCCCCGTTATTCGACCAAGTCAGTTGACTGCATGAGTCAGAACTAAGACTTGGTGGGGATGGTGAGGTTCGGGCGAAGTAGGGCCGCAGATCGATTCTACAGGCTTTTAATCTGCTCCCACGACGTTCTTCAACCCTCGCTTAGCCGTTGGACTGTTTCTGCCTGTGTGTCCCGG